AGCCACCTCCCCCAGCCAAAGGGAGCCCTGGCCCCCCAGCCGGGGGGAGCTGCCAGCAGATGGGGGACCTGTTCATTTCCCACCTCACTTGGGAACCCCCCATTGCCCCCCCAGACAGAGCTGGGACTGAAATGCCAGTCCTGGGTTGCCTGGGGGGGGGGAGTGGGGACATGCAGGGGGAGCCTGGCACTGCTTCAGTGGTGCCCTCTGCTGCCCAGGCCTGCCTTGCCGGGCTGCGCCAGGAATATCGCCTCAGCTGGGCAGCGAGGGCAAAGCAGGCCCCAGCTAAGTTCATGGCACTGCCTGTACCCCGTTGTGACTGGCCCATCCGAAGGGGGGGCCTTCGGGGGCAGCAATGGGAAGTTCCCAGCCTGCCCGCGGCTGCAGATGGCTGTGCCAAAGCTCAGCCCTGGGAGCAGAACGAGCCGGGTGCCCAGTGCCCGGGGGCAGGGCTGGCTGTTCTGGGCTCTGAAGCTGCGGGGCGGAAGCTGGTCCCACGGAGCCTGGCCAGCTAAGGGGGACCCTGGGCTCTCTTCCAGCTCACAAGTACGTGCCCCGGGCCATCCTGGTGGACCTGGAGCCTGGCACCATGGACAGCGTGCGATCCGGGGCCTTTGGACATCTCTTCAGACCTGACAACTTCATCTTCGGTGCGTCCCAGCCCCGGCTCCCTGCCCCACGTGGCCTCCTCCCTGGGCAGCCTGCTGCTCCCCTGGGCACAGCTGCCACTGCCTGCCCCCGGGCCACGTGTCTGTGCCGCAGCGTGCGTCCGGCAGTGCCCATGGGCCATGCAAAGGGGGGATCCCAGCCCAGAAGAGCCAGACCCGGGTGGGGGAAGGGACTAGAACAGGCTGAGGGCCTGGTCCTGGGGCAAACGGCCTGTGGAAAGGTGACCTGCTTGGAGGGGGCGAATTTTGTCTGGGGCAGATGGGCTCCATGGGAAGGAAATCGAGGGGAGGGAGGAGGGTGAGTGGGACAGGGCAGGGGTGCGGAGCATGGCGGAGGGCAGGACAGGGCTGGAGCGAACAGCTGACCGGCATGGGGCAGGCTGCGGAGACCAAGCTGTGGGCAAGTGACCCCAGGGCCTTGCTCCGATTTTCCTCCCTGGGACTGATGCTGGGGGAAGCTGGGAAATGCCCCTTGTTCGCCATCACGGGGCCAGTCCATGCCGACGGCGCGACGTGGGCACAGCCGCTGTAGCACGCCCGGTGAGGACACGCCACGGTGGCGGGAGTGTGCCCCTGTGGGCAGAGCTGCTGCCTCGTGCATGGGGGAGTGTCACCAGCACCACCCCGTGCGACAGTGTCAGGCACTGTCACAGGTGTGTGTATGGTGGCATGAGCAATGGGAGGCCCAAAGGTGCATGTGACCGCACAGCTGCCAGCCGCTGGTTTGCTGTGCCCTGGCTGCCCACGTGGGAGCGGAGCCCTGTCTCTGCTGTGCCCAGGAAACACCCAGCGCTCGGCCAGGGCCTTCAAGGAGATCCCTGAATTCGCCACGCCCCTCCCTGCCCGGTGGGCACCTTGAGCACCTGCTAGGTGGGCAGCTCCCAGGGCTGGGCCCACACACTGGCAAGCCCCGCTGTGGGGATAGCAGAGTGGTCAGGGCAGCCCACTTCCATGGGAGGATCCTCTCTGCTTTCCGCGCCCCCCGACTTGGACAAGGTGGGTGGTGCCAGCCTGAGAGGTGTGATCCAGAGAGCTCCCTGGCTTTGCACCCATGCACTCGCTAGCCTGTCAGCAGCCCTGCCTGGCGCAGAGGGTCTGTTAGCCCAGGGCTGGGCATGCCCTGGAGAGGGATTTCCTGGATACCGGCAGCTAAGGCTCTGGTCAGGCCTGGCTCCCCCAGGAAGGGAGGAGATCCACCTTGTCTTCTCCCCCAGGTCAGAGCGGTGCCGGCAACAACTGGGCCAAGGGGCACTACACGGAGGGGGCCGAGCTGGTGGACTCTGTCCTGGACGTGGTGCGGAAGGAGTGCGAGAACTGTGACTGTCTGCAGGGCTTCCAGCTCACCCACTCGCTGGGCGGCGGCACCGGCTCGGGCATGGGGACCCTCCTCATCAGCAAGGTGCGCGAGGAGTACCCCGACCGGATCATGAACACGTTCAGCGTGGTGCCTTCCCCCAAGGTGCAAGGTCTCCGACACGGTGGTGGAGCCCTACAACGCCACCCTCTCCGTCCACCAGCTGGTGGAGAACACGGACGAGACCTACTGCATCGACAACGAGGCCCTGTACGACATCTGCTTCCGCACCCTCAAGCTGGCCACGCCCACCTACGGCGACCTCAACCACCTGGTCTCGGCCACCATGAGCGGCGTCACCACCTCGCTGAGGTTCCCCGGCCAGCTCAACGCCGACCTCCGCAAGCTGGCGGTCAACATGGTGCCCTTCCCTCGCCTGCACTTCTTCATGCCCGGCTTCGCCCCCCTCACAGCCCGGGGCAGCCAGCAGTACCGCGCCCTCACCGTCCCCGAGCTCACCCAGCAGATGTTCGATGCCAAGAACATGATGGCGGCCTGCGACCCCCGCCACGGGCGCTACCTGACGGTGGCAGCCATCTTCCGCGGGCGCATGTCCATGAAGGAGGTGGATGAGCAGATGCTGGCTATCCAGAGCAAGAACAGCAGCTACTTCGTGGAGTGGATCCCCAACAACGTCAAGGTGGCCGTCTGCGACATCCCGCCCCGGGGGCTGAAGATGTCTTCCACCTTCATCGGCAACAGCACGGCCATCCAGGAGCTCTTCAAGCGCATCTCGGAGCAGTTCACCGCCATGTTCCGCCGCAAGGCCTTCCTCCACTGGTACACGGGCGAGGGCATGGACGAGATGGAGTTCACCGAGGCGGAGAGCAACATGAACGACCTGGTGTCGGAGTACCAGCAGTACCAGGACGCCACCGCTGAAGAGGAAGGGGAGATGTATGAAGATGATGAGGAGGAGTCTGAGGCCCAGGGTGCCAAGTGAAGCCTCTAGTGCTGGCCTGTCGAGCTTCTCACCAGAAAGATCTAGCTTCTACAGCACCCTACTGCCCAGCATAGTCCTGCCTCTCCGCTGCCTGTTAGCTGAGCACTAGACGGCCGGTATTTAGTGGCTTCTGATTAAGGGTTCCAAATTTTAAATCGTTCAGTATTTACTAGCCATCTCCCCTCCCACCTGTGCGAGCGCACCTGTACCCGGCCGCGTGACTTGCATCATGGCGGTGTCCCTCATGTCTGATTGGTTTTTTTTTTTACTGGGTTTATGTCCATTTTTATTTATTTTGAATACTTAATAAACGTCTAGCTGTCCAGTACCTCCGGTGCGAGCCCTTCCTCGCGCCAGTCCCGGGACGTGGCAGAGGATGTCCGACGGGCTGGGAGGGAGCATGGCCATGCTGCTCGGGGTGGGGGGGGAGGCTGTCTTCTCCATGCCTAGAGCAGCATGTTGATTTGATTCCGGTATCGAGAGCCCTGCCCCAGCTAGGCCAGGCCCTGGGGCTCCGCAGTCCAACTCCCCCAGAGGCAGGTCTCCAGCAGCTGGGGAACTGGACTGTTCAGGCTCTTCCAGGCTCAGCCCATCCCCACTTGAACCCCTCCAGCTGTGGCTGTGTGCGACCTGCTAGGTGGCAGGTGATGGGGGCCGTGCAGCGGGCTGGCCACACGTGGGCGGAGGGAATCCCGCCGTGGGAGGGAGGAGTTCCCCGCTCCGCCGGGGGTCAGACTTTGCAGGCTGCCCGGTGTGACCCCGTCCCGTCCCGAGGGCGCTGTTCCGCACCAGGGTGGGAATCTTGCAGCGCCTGCCAGGGCTGAGGAAGGGTGGACCCGCCCTGTCGGCCGTAGAGCTCAGCCCAATGCACGTGAGCGGGTCCTGCCCTGCGGGGGGCTGGGCCAGCCCTTGGGGAGTGGTGAGGACAGGTGGGCTGGGAGGGGAGACGGGTGCCTCCCTGAGGCCGTGGCCTGGGGCGCAGGAGGCTCAGCCTTCAGTGCTCAGGTGTCCAGGCCCCCCCCCCCGGTCCACTGCAAACCCCTCCTGCTCCGCATCCAGGTCCTCCATCACAGGGCACTGGGCTCCATCGCAGGGCATCTGGCCCCGTTGTGTCCAGCCCTTCATCCTCCCTTGCCCCTGCCAGGATGCAGAGCCAGGGGCTTCCGGTGGCTCCCACTGTGGCCCCGTGTGAGGGGCAGGGACCACCCAGTGCAGGAGCATGAGCAGCTCTGGTGCCCAAGTTCTAATCCGGGCAACACTCCAGCTGCCAGGAGCTACCTGGGGGACAGGGAGGGATCTGGGCTCTGGGGTACTCATTCAAGGGGGATTCTGGTGGGAGGGCTGGGCTGGGGGTAGCAGATGCGCAGCGGGTAGCTGGGGCAACGGGG